AATTTGGTTGCTTGCGTAATAGTGCTGTCACAGCTGGTATTAATTGGCACTTTTGTACCAAATAGTAGAGACCCACATGTGAATAACATGCAAGAGCTGAAATGCTTTTACAACACACACTGTTATCATATTCACCACTTGACAGGGGTGGAACAGAGATAAGGAGCCATGAAGTACCTTGCCTAAAGACCTCAAGCAAACCAGTGGCAGAACTCGCCCCAGTTCCCAAAACAGTCTGCTGCAAGTTTTTTTGCTGTGGATCACAGGATACAAAGAAATAAATACCTCTGTTTACCTGGTTTCCTGGGGTAGCTCCATATTGATGATATTGGGCTGCATGAGCAAATGTCACTGCTGTTATGCCCCTGCTATGCCAGTTTTTCAGCTACAAAGCTTCAGTTCCTTATGAGAGTCAATTTGGCACCCTCCTGGAATAGTAACTGCAATATAAAGGAGAAGAAAGTATTTGAGGTAGAGAAAGTAGCTGTCTGCAGTAGCATGGTAAAAAAAAGAAACCACTTTAGGTGAAATTATTCATATGGCTGACAGTAATGTATTTGTACAAAACAGAAACATGGAGGAGGTTGAAAAAGACGAGAAAAAGAAAAGAAAAAGTATTTTAAATGTAGTTTATTCTAGATACACTGTAGAAACATTTAAACCAGAAGTTCCATCTAGGAGAACTTGCAGAATTACCTCAAATTTTGTTGGATTATTTTTCTGAAGGATACTCAGAGCTTTAAATTCTGTGAGGAGGTGATTCAGTATTCCTAGTAACTGTTGTGCAGCCAAGGCTTAGGCTATATTGAGGTCTATCAATTTAAAATGCTTAAATTGTGCATATGAACCCGAAGTTTTCCAAGTGACAAACACATGTAGTTGGCATTGCATTAGTAGAATTTTGAGCTGTTTTTTACAGCTTGAAGATATAGAATAAATTCACATTTTCCATCCAGAAAAATCAGAAATATAGTTATTTGTTTTTATTAAAATTGAATTAATGATTTTAAGTTGTGGAGGGGTAGAAAGCACCAACATCTGATGAAGAACATCTTTCTAAACACTATTGATAGAGAGCTTAGTGGAGATACTCATGTGAAAATAAATGCAGGGTGGGGTAAATTAAAAAAAAAAAACAAAACCAACAAAACATGCTTTAGAGCATTCCCTGATCCATAAATTTCTAATTAGAGATGTAAGATATCTCTCCAATAAAGTTTAGCTGCATACCCTTGTTGAGCAAAAGAGCTAAGAGTACATGGGATTTTAAGAACATGATCATGTGTTATCTCTACAAACATTTTTTCTTAATTCTAGAAACTCAATTTATACTTCAGAAAATCTATTTTAAAAATCACAGTCAAAGTAATTAACATCAACTATTAGTTTATTTGAAAAGATTAGTTACGTGTACTTGTCTTACAGACCTAAAAATCTTTAGCTTGGGCATCTGGAGATAATTTCCATGTCAGTATCATTAAGAGATTTTTAAAGTAATTGTCCTGGATTGCCTTTTTTTTTTCTTTTTTTCTCTTTATGTAAATTTAAAATAATTATTTGAATAAGCTGTCTTCTGTTCATACTTAAGTGGTTATTTTGTTGACTAATTTCACAATCTTAGAGCTGCTGAGACGAGTGCTAGTACTTATTATGTCCTTGAAGTTCAATGTCTCTATACAAATATTTTGAGTTCTGGGAAATAAGAATGCTTGCTGTTTGTGCAAGCATCACTATTTCTAGTATCAAATGATAGACATTCTAACCATGAGAACAATGAAGTTAAAAAGTTCAATAAAGACTCAAAATTGAAAATTTGGAATCAAGAAAACTCCAGATATTCAGGAGAAGATTGATACTGTGACATCTGAAATACCAGAGAAGCAGACTGAAGCAGTCTGACAATTTCTTGACGGTGTTATGTATTTGTTATAACAGGAATAGCTGAGTTTTCTGATAAAACTCTCCAAAATCAGTCTCATTAGGTAATGAATATTCTGTTCATATTAACTACTCAAATGACTTTCTGGAAAAAGATGTGGCTGTGGGCTCAGTGTATGAACCTCAGCTGAGCTTGATCCAGAACTCTTGGCTCTGGTGGCAGTGGCTGAGATTCAGCTGGCTGCAGCTTGAGCTCATCCATTACCTGTCCCTCAGTTTGCATTGGAGAGCTGAGCCCAAAAAGCTAAGTAAAATTCATAGTAGTGATCTCACTAGGATAGTGGGCATTGCTGAAAGGAGGGCTGGGAGAAGCTTTTCTTTTGTATGTGTTGTAAACACAAAATCAGCTGTATAATGTTTCATAAAACTTTACAGTAATGATCTTTATGAGCAACTTTATAAGACAAAGACATATTTTCATAATTTTTCTCAGTTTCTTATTGGGATTTTTAGATAATTTCATGCATTTTGTCTCCTTTTGCTTTTAAAAATATTAAAAGGTAAGTTCTTGAACAATCTTGTCATTTCATGTGCATACTTCATGCATGCATATACATTTTTAGCTTGTCAGGCTTCTAGCTTTATTTAATCACACAATGTTCCACCTTTCCCTATTTTTAAAAAGTTTCTGCCTCAAGTTGGAGCTACTTCCTTATTCTATTTCATACTTTATTCTGTTATATTGCATTGTATTAGTCAGACTTTAGACAGTGACAGGACAGAATTTTTCAAAAGGGGGCGGTTTGTTTTGAATTGTTTTTAAGTTTCTCTTTTTTAACGCATGGCATTTAACCTGTGTATCTTCCATTTTTTTAGATAATAGCAATCATAAATGTAGAGGTGAGAACTGAAGAAGTTTTATTCTTGCTGACTGTCATTATGCCCTCCAGTTTATAACAGTTGATGTACTTGTAGATGTGATACAAAAAAGCCTTTCTCAGATTACCTTTACATACTCATACATAACCTGAAAAGAAAAAAAAAATCCCCTTATTTCAGTATATGTATTTGATATACTATCAAATTTAAGATTCATTAGCTCAAATAAAATTGAGAAAATAATTTAAAAAACCTTCACCCTATGTTTACAGTATAGCTGATAGGTTTTTTTAACCTGTTTCTAATTTTCTATATTCTTCTTTAACCTACTTCTATTTTCTTCAAGTAGAGAAGTTATGAGAAACTACAGGTGTTTACAAATGGGTTACTACGAGTTTGCTAATGCGGAAAAGAAGTAGGAAGGAAGGAAGAGAAAAACTGGGAGTAGAAGCTCACATAGTTAATGGATGTAGACCTGCCTGAAAATACAAAGAGGATTGCAATGTGCCAGTATCTGGAAATAAATATTTTTTCCCATCCCAGGCAGTGTACAGGGCTGGGCTGTATGGAGCATTGAGCAGCCTGGTCTAGAGCTGTTCCTGCCCATGGCAGGGGTGTTGGAGCTGAAGGATCCTTAAAGTCTCTTCCAAGCCAACCCCTTTGATGATTCTGTGGTTCTACCTTGAATTACATTTCTGAACAGAGGCCTAGTAAACCTCTACACCAATATATCTGAGTGCTGAGCTGTTGTAAGGACTTGGTGCTTGGGATTTGTGTTTTCCCAGTTGTCCATCTAGTGGTATTTTGTGACCTACCTTAGGGATGTGTCTTATCCAGTCCCTGACCGCTGGACAATTAAAAGGTTCAATTGGCTTGGATTAATGTTTAGCCAAAGGACAGTGATTTATTTGTAGATTTCAAGTGAAAAGTATCATGAGTGAAAATACACATTTTGTAGCTTCGCAAAGACCAGTCCACCCATAAAGATAGTTTAAAATAATCAGAGAAAAATAGAATGGTTTGGGTCAGAAGAACTCCTAAGGATCATCTAGCAAATGATGATATTAGAAAATGGATTCAACTGGAAGAGATGAAATCGGATGAAACTTACTTACAAATGCACTATAAGTTTTTTTCTTCATCCAATAGGCACATCAAGTGGGAAAACTTGACAAGAAAAGCAAGAGCAAATCCATTTCTTTATTTATTTCAAATGAGAGGGAGCAATCACAAAGCAGGAAATGCATCTTTAATAGTTTTCTTTTTGAAAGAAATATTGTTTCCAAAGAAATTGCAAAACTAATTTGCGTACATGTTGTTATGAAGAACAGCTACTGCAAAAATCTATTTCAAGGGGCCATTTCAGCTAGTTTTCTTTGCTAGTAATTTTCTCTTTAGGTTACAATCCTTTTCTTCTGAATCCAAACTGCTTATAGCAGATCAGCCCTTAAGGTGTCAGAGATATTTGTTTTCCCTCCTGAAACGCACAGTCAGGCACATTAGCGACTCTGTCATACCAAGCTAATTAATAATAACAAACATTATTTTGCATCCCCTGTATAGAGAATGAAATCCATAAAAATGTCAGGAACTACTTGCACTACCTAATGTTTTCCTTCTTTTGTCAATTCTTTCTTGCTCTTTTGTTTTGCTTCCTTATTCAGGCATTATTAGACAAAAAGCTAGAAGAGCTGGAAATAAGTGTAAAGTTTATACTATTGGTACTGCAGCAAATTTTGTCATTGATTTAAATGGGAATAAACTTAAGTCTTTGGTATTACTCATAAGAGTCAAGACTAGAATTTTATTTGGACAGATACTGAACAGGTTTTATGGCATATCCTGAAAGAATAAAGTTTGGAGATTTACAGGCATTTTCACATGTCTTCGGGCACAGATTTCTCAAGCAGTGCCAGGCAGCAGTATTGCAATGCTCTAACAGTATAAACACTCAGGCAGTTGACACCGAGTCAGTCTCATTGTTTGCAGGATGATTAGAAGTAGCAGCATTGAGGTTGTTGTTTTTAATGCTTAGTTTAAATTATTTTTTTCATGTAAGAGGTATATGGTAACATATCTGAAAATGAAATTTCACTATTTTATCTACTTTAAATTAAATTTCTTAAAATTCTTTCTGTTGTTATCCAGAGAATCCAGAAGAGTTGCAATGGTGCAAAAATACTTTTATGTCTTTTGGTGAAAACATACTTACATGTCTTTTCCTCTCTTTTAATATCATCTAGATATCAGCATGAATCAATTCCAAGTCCACTGGTTACTGGAGTCCTGTGCACACAATGACACCAAAGGACTTAGGAAAGTAACAGAGCTGACTTATGTAAGTCTCCGTTCAGCCCTCTGCTTGACTCTGAGTAGTTCCTGGGCAGCAAGAGGGATGGTTCTGTAATATAACACAATATGTGGAATATCCTGTTACATAGATCAGTAAAAGTGCTTCCTTTTTTGTGTTCCTCTTGGCAAAAGATAAAAATTATGTATCTGGACTGGTTTTGGGTTGCTTGGATTTCCTAAAACCACTCTAGGCTAAAATATTTTATTTGCTTTTTTTGTTATTCAGAAAATGAGAACAGACAAACTTCTTAACTAAGTACTTCTATATGTCTACAGGATATAGAAAACAGAGCTTAATCTGCAATTAATAATGTAGGACCTTAGCACAGCGCAAATACTGAACAATAATAATAGTAATTAATAAACCAGGTTTTCTTTTAGACATCAGATGAGTTTCAGGTGATCATACTCCTTGAGGAGAATAGATATAGATAGAATAATAGATAAGAAAAGAAGGACTGTAGGTGACAAATACCAGATGCTAAATCTGGAAGTCGGACAGATATCAGATGGGGAGAAAAACTCCATGTAAGTACATGGCAGTCCAAATATATATTGCAGTGGCAGTACTTCCAACTAAATTTGTTGTCAATCTAGTGTCATCTGTCTATGTAACACATTATTTGAACATCCGAGTAATGTGATTGGTGCATTAGAATTTATTTAGTGTGTTATACAGAATGGACAAAATCACAATTCACCTTTCCTTCTTACCCTGATCTGTACTACCCCATTAATTCAGAGGAGTTAATGTCATGTAAAAGAGTAAATCAGAAAACATAATTTCTCACATAGGATGGTGTTAGCTTGTAAGATTCACTGCTTCATGGGGTCAGCAAAGCACATATTAGAGGTGGATTTAAAAAATTATTTTGACATAAATGTTATGGAGATCGGAGAACCGAACATTTAAGAAGCTCATTTCCACTAGAGGTCAGGAAAGACTGGACATCTGTCCAAATGCATTGTGGGATTAATGAATTTTTCTTTTTTTCCTTATTTCAAATAATTTTATGTAATTCATTCAGTCTGTCATGATAAATAAAAATAGTCCTGTCACAATTTTAAGGAGACATAAAACTTGTTGGACCACCCTCCCGGCAGGTGGAAGGCAAGGAGTCCAGTCTCAGCCCAATCTGTATGTCCCATGAAAATGACCTTCCAAGTGAAGGTTAGAATAATTTGCAATTAGAAAAAAGAGGGAGTTATGCAGAAAAACATAGGAAATTAACATTTCTGAAGGGAATTAAAGATCTAAAAGCAAAAGTCTTTTGATTTTTGCCAGTAACATATTATTAGATATTTTTTCAGGATAAAAACCAACCAAACATTTTTTTCCATATATGATTTGTGTTAAAGCTTTCAGATTGTAATTTTCAAAAGTACTTCAGACACCAATAAGAATTTAGCAAGACACTTACACTTTGTGTAGTTTTCTTCTCTACTCACTGTCCTTAAAGAGAGATTTCTGCTTTGTATTTAGCTGTGGACTTCTTCCTGATAAGAATACTGAAGTACCTAATGTACTCAAGTGGAAAAATATGCATCCATAATACTATGCCAAACTTTAAATGTGCTTTTAAAAAGTTAAACATAGATGAAACCTGTCATTTACTGCAGCTTAACTCAGCTTTCTTACATTTATTTAATTTGAATAGCATTTATATCCTCACATTGCTACCCCCACTGCCATCATTCACAGAGACTGTTCTAAATATTATAAGTCAGTTGCTTTGATGCCATGTGTCGAAGGAACTGTGTAGAATTGAAGGACATATTCAAATACTGTGCTAATACATTTTACTACTGAAAATAATCATGACATTGACAATACTTGCTTTCTTCTCTGAGTTAAAACCACATTGGCATGTGTTAAGCATCCAGTAAAATATTTTTTGTGGAGAGAACTTTTCATCTTTTGCCAAAGTTATTTTTCAATTTGTTTGTATGTTTTTTTCTTTTTTTCCTTGGGCTCTATTTGCAGCATGTGATATTTTCATTTTTCTTCTTGTAGGAAAACTACATTATTCTGAAGGACCTGTCATTTTCATGCAAATACAAAGTAACTGTTCTGCCTGCAAAATCGAAAGGTCGTTTTAAGGCTGAGAGTACTTTCTTTGTTACGCCACCTTGCTCTGCATTTAAAGAAAAAAAACACAAGCATATTAATTGTCCTGCGGAAGGAGGTAAGGCATGATCTGGAGAACTACCAAATGTTCCAAAAGCATTTGTAATCACCAAAAGAGTAATAAAAAAACAGGTTTAGGGTAGAAAATGATGGATTCAAAACAAATAAAAATATCACTAATGATTATGTGAAAATCAACAGAAATACACAACAGTATCGATTTTGGCAAAACATTATTACTGTTTTGTCAATTAAGTGTAATTGTATTGGACATACAATAATATTTGTAATGGCATGGTGGGGTTTTTTTTGTAAGGAAGAACTGTTTCCCATTGTATTTATTATAATGATGGAGGATAACTGTAAACATGATTATGGTGGCATGACCTATCTTTTTTAATGTTTTACTGCAGATGCAAACTGCTTTTTTAGTTTGATTAGTTTAGGTTAAATCTGCTCTCAAATAATAAATAGAGGCCCTCATATCTTTTCCAGCATTGTTACAATGTGTAACTGGAGGGTTATGGAAGTTGCAGAATTATGAAGGTATTAGTTGGAGAGGACCTCTGTGGTCAGCTGGTCCTGGCTGAGGTCAGCCATGGCTTTGCACTGCCAACTGTGGATACCTCTCTGGTTGGAGGGAAGCCCTCTCACCTTGAGTCCCTCCTGTTCTCAAGGGTCCCCCCCCCATGCTCCATAAGTCACCCAGAATCTTTCTGGCCATCACTGCCCTTTCCTTAATGCCTGTCCTGACAGTTTCCAGCATTACAGCCTCCCTGGGCAACTCTAACTCAGGTATAACTTTCCCCTAATCAGAATGTCCCTATTAATTTGTACTACAATTTTAGTGCATGAATTTTACTCTTTGGCTGAATGATGGAGTTCTGTGCTACCCTGTGCATTTTCTTGTGGTCCCAAAACTTCCAGTTTGAGTTCAGGTATTATGAAATATGAGGAGCAGGAGAATGAATCCCTGTGAATGAGGCACTTAGGTCTTTACATGCCATAGCTTTCTTTTCTGCACCTGCAGCTGAGAGCATTTTATCTGAAGTTTGAGTTTAGCCCCAAATGTCAGTGGAATATATCAAACACAAGTTTTTGATTAACACTGGAAAGTTGCCCGCATTGTGTGTAACGCCAGAAACAAAGCTCTGCCTGACCTTACTTTCTGAAATTAAATTAATATTATTGAATATTATCTCTAAAAGTCTAGCTTATCTTTTTTTTTTTTTTTTTTTTTGCTTTCCAAATTTATAGTGCCAGTTCTACCCAAAGTGTTGGCCAAACCCGAGAATCTGTCTGCATCTTTCATTGTTCAGGAAGGTAACATCACTGGTCATTTTTCCTGGAAGATATCTAAGGCAGACCTTCACCAGCCCATGACAGGGTTTCAAGTCACTTGGGCAGAAGTGACCACAGAGAGCCGGCAGAACAGTTTACCCAACAGCATCATTTCCCAGTCACAGATACTGCCAGCAGTAAGTTGTTTGTTACTTTCTTTTGCCAGTGGCTCCCTAAATTTATGTGTCTGTGCCTCATTTGTAATGTTTAGTCAAGCACTGGTTCTGCAGGTAAGTTGGAGCAGGAAGTACTTAATTTTTCTTCCTTGTTGGAGATACAAAGCATAGATCCTATTCTTGATGATACATCAAATATTTAAAACTGTAGAGCCTGGAGATGCCTTTAATTATCTATCACTTTATGTGTCTGTCTATAGCACCTGGTTAACTTGCAGAAGACTCTGATTGGACTTGAAACAATGTCTTCTATCTCTCAGAAACCACCAAAATTTAGGGTATTTATACCAAGGACCATTCACTCTGACTGAAAATGTAGTATTTACACAGCCAGGGCTGAAACCCACAGGGCCCAACTGCTGGAGGACCACCTGAATGAGCAGAGTGAGTGTACAAGTGCAATGTATGCACTCCTCTCTCTGTCCTACCCATGCAGGATTTTAAATGATTTGGAACAGCTTCAGCCAGTTCTGTTAAAGGCAGTCCCATCTCAGAATATGTGATAATTTGCCAGGAAAACAACATATTTTCCCCCACTTTTTCTCTCTCTCCTTTCTCCTTTACTGTCTGCTCTGGCAGTAGCAGCAGATTATCCCCTACGCTTTGTCTTCCCCACATGGGGTGGGTACAGTGCCAACCAGAATCACCTGTCCTGTGGATTCCTAGCCAGACCTGCCTGGCTGGTGGCAGGAACACCGTGTTGCCCACATTGCCCAGCATCACTTCTCCAGCTGTCCCCTTCCTGGGACTGGGCCTTTACAGCTTGGAATATGATGAGTGATTTGTTCCAACTTAATGCAGATGATTTATAGTTTTGATTTTGAATTAGATTAATGACTTCTGATTCCCTAATATCTGTCAGTCTTTAGCCAGATGTATTCCCATGTGGAAATTTCTATAAAATTACTTTGAAATTATTTAGCACATGTCTAAGTGACCACAGAAGGTATGGAGCAGTGAAAAGTGAATCCATCATGCCGTAAATGACCTTAAGAGCAGAAGACAAATTCTTATGGTGTAGCTGGGACAAATTTGAAATTAGTGTGGTCACCCTTTTTTTTCCAGAAGCTGTAGAAGTGGCCCCAGGCCAGCCACTACTTAAATTACCAATTAGTAGAATCCACATACAAATCCAAAATAAAAACAAGTTTATGTAATGAATGTGTTTGTTAAGAAGAATGGTTAAGAAAATGCATTTTGATTCATTTTTTAGTGATGAGCACATCGCTAAAGTGATCGGCACACTTTCCCTAGTAACATCTTGGACCTTATACACATGAAACCATAGTATTATGGTTAAAATGATGTATCTTCAAAGGGAGTAGCAAGAAAAAAATTCAAAATAGGCTCACTCAACACAGCGATGCATACATTAAATCCTTTTACCGGAATTCTATGAAAATAATTTGTGGCTGCTGACAGTGATAGAACCTGTTTAAACCACTGATGTGTGTGAGTAGAGCAACTATGTTTTATTTTTCAATGGTCTGAGAATTGAAGTGGTGTATTTATTTTTAGGATCATTACATACTCACCGTGCCCAACCTGAGGCCCTCCATGCTGTACCGCCTGGAAGTTCAGGTGCTGACGACTGGCGGGGAAGGGCCAGCCACGATTAAATCCTTCCGAACGCCCGACCTTCCTCCATTTGCACCCCACAGTAAGCACTACACTGCTCTGGCATGTGCTGGTGGCATGTTACAAAACTTCAGTCTTCCACATGTAAAGAGTGGAAGCCTTTCTCAAGCTTTAGAGTTTTTACTGATTCCAGTAGCATTCCATAAACTTAAGATGTGTGAAAATACTGGATTTTTCCCCCCTAATGATTGTCCATCAGGAAATCCAGGCTTTCTTTCATTCGGTTTCTGTGGTCTAACATTTGCCATTCGTTGCAGCCACAGATCTTTGGCTCATGCCTATAGCACTTGGGATTCAAAGCTGGTCTGTCCTCTAGGTGCAGCCTGGAGGATTACCTAGCTTTCAAGATTAGATTTTTCTGGGTTCACTCAGTCCAGTATAGCTAGAGCTTAAACATATTTTAAAGCAAAGCAAACTCTTAATGGCCATTTCCAGCACATCATGTATTTCTGAGAAATACAGCACAGTGTTGCAAAGCCAAGTAGAAAATACAATTAGTTTAAAATCTGTCTGCTTGAATGGTTTTGTCCTTTTAAAGGCTCACTAAAGTTGCTTGGACTGAACATACACATAGTTGTCAGCACAGACTCAGCATTTATAAGCTGAAGGACTGATAGCTGAAGGTCTCACAAAGCCTTTTCAGTATGGATAAATGTTTACATTACATATCCAGGGTTTGATAAGTGCATAATTTCCTGTTCTTTTGTTTAGGACCTCATCTGAAGCAACATCATCCACATCACTACAAGCCATCCCCAGAGAAATATTAGACTGTTTCAGATGATTATACAAATAACTGAGGGAAAAAAACTGAGCTCCCAAATGAAGGCTGGATAACAGCACATCTGCTGGAGCAGTGAACCCAGTTTTTCAATGAAAGTACCATCCTGTACAATCTGTATCTACTTCTCTGTAGTTTAGCCATGAAGAATTATGTTTGCACCATGACCAGGATCAATCATACAGCAAGTATCATAAGTATCATTTCAGTACCAACACTATTCAACAAACTGAAGATCACTCCAACTCAACACCTGTGAGAAAATATTCATTATATTGTTCATTATAATGTTTTCATATTCTGTGTTTAAAGTAGGTGAAAATGGTGCAGTGTATACAGCTTTTTCTCTTATTGAATTCAATGTTACTATTTGCTGTGATGTAAACATACTTTTAAAAGAGGCCATGTTCTCATAAATGGATTTAAATTATCTATTTTACTTAAAGCCCTGCCTGTCACCAGTTTACACTCTAGTGTGTTTTGGTATTAAGGAATATCTCAATTTGTCTGAAATAAGCACATAAGTAAAATAAATACCAGTAGCAGAAACCATGAAATACCCAGATTTTAATAATCGTAGTGTCACCATGGAGGAGGATGATGATACATATGTATTACCCATCTGGTCTAAAGTGGTAATGTTCTATCATGTAGATCTTCTATTAATATAGCTAATAGTTAAAGGATATACAGGGTAGAAATACCATTGTAGAGAAACAAATTGCAATTAATAGAGTTGTTTAAAATTTATGGCGATTAATGCAATTAATTGATAGGTCCTAGAAGAATAAATTTTCAAATCTTTCTTACAATTTTTTGATACATAATATTTCAAGGTATAGTATTATTTTTAATAGAAACACCAATTTTATAGCTAAAAATGTGAATAGTTAACATTAGAGTTTTAGAAACTGAAATTCTGAGGCACATTTATTATTATAGTAGCTGTATAGCTACTTTTTGGCTTTGAATTTTGATGCACATATTTCTTTTCCCTGTGGATCTTTAGAACAGAAGGATGGATGTATTGGCTCTATTTTGCTAGTCTGCTTACAGAAAGAATTATGTGATAATATTCTGGCATCTGGAAAACATTGGCTTATAGTTTATTTTAATTCATTTTTCAAATTTAGACAGAAGGGTGCCCTTTTTAACCATAAGGGAATTCATATTGCCTTATTGTGCAATATAAACTGTCTAGCATAATTTGTCACACAGAGACACATGTCTCAATAGTAAACAGAAACTGCTTGGATTTATTATTGAGAGGGTGGAAAGTATCTTCCAATAAACATCCATATAAATACCCGTAATCAGCTCTTAATGTTCAAGATGTTCAAAGTGCTCCTGAATTCTTTGGCATTGTTTCTGTTGCTCCTTGACTCATCACATCAGACATTTAGCATCCATGCATGACCTTTGTTGACTTTGTATTTTTCATTTTTGATTTGAGTACGTCAAAACTTGACTTCAACTGCACAAAACTGGCCACTTTTTCTACCAACAGATGATACAGACTCTTCTGTGCTTCTTATTTTTCTGAGATATTCAATAAGAGGAGCTCAGACATTAGTGGTACATGTATTTCCCTTGTTTGCTGTTTTCTGAAAAAGAAAATATGAAGAAATACCTATCTGAAACTGAGGATCAGAGCTCTGTTTATCATAGTAGAATGTTCACAAGATATTCAGTTTGTCTATACTGAAGTTTACAGCATTTATACCACAGGGTGAGAAGGAAACTGCATTAATTTATCATCACTTGCTCATTACAATTTTTTTTACAATTTTACCTTCAGTTTTAAAGGGCTCTTTTCCATTCTTTTTCTATTTTGCTTGTTGTCTTTTCATGTGGTGTCTTGGTCATGTAGTGACCAAGAATTTTCCCAGATATTTTCTATTGCTACATGTTTTGGGCATTTAACAATAGCTTAAAATATATTAAAGGCTATGGTGCTTTTAATTCCTTCCTCTATCTTCTAAAATACATTAGCAAATTAGCTGATGAACTAGTATTTCAAAAATCTGTAGTATAAAGCTTTTTTTTCAGTTTTTTCAGAATGCCAAAGTTTGAGATATTTTTGTCAGGATTAGAGTGTTTTATGTGTATGTTTTTACAAAGAAAACAAAATTTGCATTGGACAGATGTGTAGCACTGCTTTCACATTTGGATTGCACAGGGCATAGATGAGTCTAGAAGTGATATTTGTGGTGTTTGCTGGATCAACGGGATCAGGGAAAGTAATTACCTCAGTGTTCTCTAAAGAATTCTGTCCAAACCTTGCAATCACTGTCTGTTCTGGTTGTGCTGGATCAAATCTACAGTGACTTGATTAATGTTCATGACATTACATTTCATTCATAGTGAGACTGTAAAGAATAGGTATTGGTCTTGGTTACAATGATGCCAGTTCATTGGAGATAAGCAGGAAGTTAGGAGCCCTGAGTCCTCATGAAATCATCCTTCTGACAAGAATTAAAATGATTGCTGTTTGCTAATGCCATTCTCTTTGAGGCATTCTTCTGTTCAAAGGAACAGAGTACTTTTGAAGAACACTGAGAGGTTTTCCCTTCTGAACTAGACTGGCCAAAATCAAAAGTTGAAAGTAGAAATCTAGTGATCAAGTGTATTGTATTGAGTCTGATAAGATGCAAATTATTTTTTCCTTCTACAAATGATATCAACTCACCTTTCAAGTCACCCTTCAAATCAAAAATAAAAAATAAAAAGTCAGCAAAGGTCATGCATGGATGCTAAATTCACACCTGTGAGTGATTTCCTGATTATTTTTTTTAAATTTAGCAGTACAGATTTTAAGTCTTTAGCGCCTAATTCTAAAGCTTTGTTTGCTGAATCATACAGGGTATTGTCCTAATTTACTAGACTAAGCCACATTAAACATTTAATTCAGCAATATAGTTGCAATTTGCTACTTAATTCTGTAGTTAAAGATTTATTTTCTCTAATGATGTTGTGTAATTCAGAGTTAATATTGGAATGATATTAGAGATATTGGGATGTTTTAAGATACTCTGCACCTTTACACTAATGTATTATTTACTGAGTACGATTCTGATGGATTTGTCAGTTGAATTCAGGATGCATTTTGTTTATCTTTATTTCTTAAAGGATAATTATAAGATTATGCTATTTTTGCTAACTGCTTTGTGAAGTGTTTTTTTGTTTGTTGGTGATTTTTGTATAAGAAGAAACTGGTTTGTTCTCATTATAACTTTTTTTTTGACCATTTTTGAGTTGTTTATAGAGCAGGAGAAAATAAGACAGAATTTGTGCTGTATCATCCATGTATACCACCTTGAATATTCATTAAGAATATAGTACACAGAAAATAAATAAGAAGTCTTATTTTTTAAATGCTGAACATCTTCAACTTAATGGCTTCAGAAGGAGCTGAGGGCATGGTGTGGCAATGCTGACACTGATACTTGGCGTGGTCACACACAAAGTCATTGCTAATGTGAGTGGGAATTTGGCAATTCTACTAATTGTTATTGGCAGAACTGTATAGAAACCTTAATACTGAGTCAATTTATTTCACAATACTTTCATCTTAAAGCTCCCAGCTGGAGTCAGGGAGAGTTTCCAATAAGCAGGTCATGATTCAGGAAGGTTGGCACAAAGGAAGTCAGTGGGATGGAAGTAAACCTGCGCAGTTAAGAACGAGCTTTAGTGGTGCTTCAACTCAAGCATGGATGTCAGAGTTTGAATAATGACGTAAATCAGGACCTTGTAAAACAAAGTGGGGGAACCAGACAGTTCTAAATTCCGTGTAAAACACCATAAAAATTTTATTTTTGTGTATATGTAAATGTCATAGTGATATTGACTTATTTATTAATTCATTTTCTTATACTATGTGCCAATTATGTTCCTACCCTTTTGATCAGTACCTGTGAACATCAATTACTAAAAATAATGTTATGCAAAACTTGTACATTTTAACCAGGAATATGCTACTAATAATCTGTTGCATGTAGTTTTCAATGATTAAGAAAACCCTTTATTTAAAAAATGTAAATGGATACCTGCAGATGTTGATGATTATATGTGGGTTTGCATGCCAAAACTCATTGTTCAGTTGTGGGCATGAAATGTAACGACTGTATTACCTCTACTGATATATTAGTAAGGTACAATTTACAAAGTAATTAACAGAGCTCTATATGTAAATTTTTTCCTTTTTACTTAATTATATTGTAGTAAAGGTAACAAATGCTTCTCTGTTACCCAAATTGGCTGTAGAAATTATGTTCCTATAACAGTCATTTAAAGTCAATATTTATTTATGTATGTAATACAAAAAGATTGGTCTTATGTGTTTGTCCTGTTATTTAGAGAAAAAAATATACGCTTGTAAAAACATTTTGTAAAAAAATATAAATGTAAATAGAGTCCGATTGCTTTTACTCACTATTTTCATGTTTAGAATTTGTACATACATATGTAATAAACTATCCTACATCGAAACATTGCTACATTATCTCCTCCATACAGAATTTAGAATTTTGCTTTTCTTGAGTTAAAGAGATAGAACCATCTAAGAAAAATCAGTGTCATACCAAGTACCTCTGCGTCATCTAAATTTCATTGTGTCTGAACTCATACCATTTTATCCTTACTTTACTACAGCATTTTGTTTTCTTTAGATAGTCATCAAAATATACTGAAAATAAATTAAAATATTATTTGAGTCTTTTACATTGCAAACCAATACTGGAAGTAAAAAGTCATGCATAAAAGTTTGCCCTTTCCCTATTCTAACTGGATAGTTCACAGTGAAGATTTGTTGATCCTTTTGTTATGCTAGCTTAAATTAATTACTTTGCTGGATCTTTGCCAGTGGCCTGATCCTGCAAGCCAAGATTTTCATGACTGAAACTTATGGTGAGTCTGTGGATGCACTAGATTTGGAGTGTTTTCTGTTCTAAAGTGCAGTATCCCATGGTTTAAATTCTGTATTTTTAACAAATATAAATATCTTAGTACAAATATTTAACTGTTTCAAATTCTCACAGATGCACTATTATGCTCAGGTGCAATATCCTTAGTTTGGAGATGAACCTTTGGAACTCTTAGCTTACCTAATAAACATTTATTTTTTGTTAACTTTATTAAAAACTCCAAAATTTCCTGGTAGTGCTATCTCATGAGAATAACTGCATACATTTCTGGTTTTAGTTTTCTTCTTACATAAAGGAATAATATTTAGAGACACCCCTATTTTTAAATTTCTTTGTAAGTTGGAATATTTCTATAATATTTGCTGTTGTGGTTCAGTAAATTCAGAAAAGAATAATATATCAGGTGAATGGGTAAGTTGTCAAAATAAATGGTTGAGTTGTTCTATACACTGTAATTCATAATAGCAATTCATTTTTTCATTCCATGTCTTCAAAGAAATGTTTTATTCTACATTGGACTAAAGGACACAGTGACTGGATTAAAAAAGCATATGAAATAAAGCAAATTTGCTATATATTGAACAATATTCATTATTTTGGGGGTGATGCAACCTGGCTTTTGTGCACCTAAAACTGGAATACACTCAAAAGATTCCACTTCATTTAAAAAAAATGAATACAGTGAAAGCTTGTTCCAGTGCAAAACCAACCCTCCATACTTCTATTTTCTAAATACAGGTGTTTTATTGTTATTGTCTGAATCTATGCCAGCCTCCTTGAGGAAGGCCTTGGGCCAAAACAGTGGCTGCAGCCCCTTGGTGGCAATGAAGCTCCTGGAGGGTAGAGCAAGCACCAGGGAGAACAGTGAGAATGTAAGCTTTGAAACAGAGCCAATGTGCAAGGAGTGAATTGCTGTGTCCCCTTTGCATTGTGCCTAATTTCCCTCTTGCTCCTGCTCAAGGTGCTGGCAGGAGCACAGATGAATATTTAATACACGCCTTGCTATAAGCATTTACTGAGAGAGCTGTGAGGCACAGAAAGTAAAGAATTTATGAATGCTTTCTGTACCCAGTTCCTTACATGTGCTGGTGATTTATTCATGTTAGTTAATAATAAGCTGCATTCAGCAGGTCTGTTTCTTCTCAATGGAAAATCAACTTTGGAAGCAGTGGACTGTCATTTTTCAGGAGCGTTAGGCAAATATGCTGCACACAAATATCCCTTTATATTTGTGTGCAAATGTATTTGTACAGCACATAGAGCTTGCTTGTCTTTTGCACAAGCTGTTCAGTATTAATATGTGTGAAATAGGTTAAAAATTTTCAATCTTTGCCAGTGATGCTGGGTTTGCTGATTAGTAATGATTAGTCAACATTTTAATCATAATTTTATATTTTATTTAGAAAATGTTACCTGATTTAAATAGTTCAGACTGCACAGTTGTTTATAGATGCAGAATGATAAGCTGGAATTTCCATGCTGTCATTTTACATACTTCAAAGGTAGAGGAGGCACTGGGAACAGAAGAGCATAGGTGGCACAAAAAGATTCTGCTCTCCTGATGTATTAGGTTTTTTGCCAACATCCAATTTCTAGTATTAATTCCAGTATTTTTAGGTATTTCAAACATTCAAATTAATATTTTAAATTTCTTTTCTGAGATGTGCTGCAATACTTGTTTTAAATAGAAATATTTCACATTTTCAGTGAACACGCCTGCAAGATCTCCTAGCCTGTAACCATAAAACAGGAATTTACAAGAAAAAAAATAATCTGGTGAGTGCTAGTTGTACTCTCAGAGCAGTTATGGACAACTGTTATTTTTGCTTGGTGTTTATTGAATCATACTATGACAAAGAAGATCCATACACATTTTTCCCGTGCTTTGAGGGCAATACCTCTTGTCACCAAGGGTAGGATTTAATTGGCGAAAGAGCTTCATGAATGGCTGAATCACCAGAGGCTTGTAGAAGATTTACCCTAGTGAATGAACCCTGTATTTTTTTTATTTTTCTGAAGATGGTGTTAATTTCTCTTGTCTTTTAACCTGAATTTGAAGGGGGTTTTAGTTTTGCTTTATAGTGGATCTGTGTGCAATACTTTTGTTGTGAAAGACTTGTTTCTCTTACTGTTCTTAGTCGTACATGGCACACTGAAAGCCTGCTTCTCTTCACTGCCTAATGCTGTGAAGATTTAGGCTTATGATACCTTTCCAGTTGAAAGAAATACATTAAGATAATATATATTAATGTATTTAGAGCACATTTCAGTAAAAGGTTCCCTGCCAGAAAAGTAATATTTGTTTTCCAATATAAAGAGTATTTGCAGTTGTATCTCATTTAAATTATTGTGTACACAAAATAATTTTGTTTGTAAAATAGAAAACCCGTCTTTCTACACATCAGGCATGCTGGCCACAAGAAATTGTGGTAAGCACACAAAACTAAATATTAAATGCATAGATCTAACTCATATTTGCATTTATAAATTCCATTAAGAATAATTTATGTTCAGGTTAACTAAATATGTCACACTGAGTAAAATGGATGCAAAACTTCAATAAAATCCTAAGGTGATCCCATATTTATTTTGTCAGTGATTTTGTAACATTTGTTATTAACTTTGTAAAACATGTGAAACAAATAACAATTTTTATTTCAGATTTGTATATACAGTTGGGAAACTATGAGTCAAACAGCATAATCAGTGTTCTCATTAGCTCCAGACTTTTTCTAGGAGATGTTCTTTTATCTCAGCTAAGCTCAAAATCTCTAGAACATCTCTGTCACAGATGATGATGGGCTGCTCAGAGCCTTGTCCTTTCATGTTTTGGAAATAATGAAGAATGAGGATTCTGCATGCGCTCATTAATTACTTGTGAAACAACAGTAAGGCAAGCAGTGACATCTTAAATATCAAGGAAATTGTATGGGAAAAACCCCAGTGGCATAAAGAACTTCAATTGTTTTATGGGCGTGTCAAATTAAAAAGAATTTGAAAAATATTCTTTTAAAGCAAAAGCTTGTATGTTCTTTTATTTTCAGTAGGTTTGTGATGAAACCCTTTGCACACTGTCCTTGGGAATGCAAAGCTAAAAGAAAGTGAAACCTGCAACTTCTCAATATATTTTTATTTTTTCAGACATTAGTTATCTCTCAAATATTGAGAAATGAGAACTCAATCAGCCATATTTCTAGAGAATTTACTGGTTGCTTAATTTGCAAAGTTGTGTGAATTAGGATTCATGTGGTATTTGTCCATATTAACATCAAATGAGTTTTTCTATATTAAACTGACAATGGCAATGGCCCATTTGTGTTGCCTCTTATATACCCAACGTTGTTGGTTTGAGGAGCTGCAGCTAACCAAAATTGTTTGTAGTCCTTGGTCAGGCAGCACTTCTGAGGAGATCACCAAGGGCTCAGGATAGCTCAGCTGAGAGGAGTGGGTCGGGTTGCTGTGTCAGGGTGTACTGGGCACCCAGCTGGCTCTGCCTGTGCCACAGGTGTCCCCAAGCTTGGGGATGTTAGGGAGATAGGAAGTGGCTGTCTAGGAGCAGAAAGAAAGGAGTGCCTTCAGTGAAAATGCTGTGGAAAGGCCACTTGTGCTGCTGCAGAGCTATAGAGGGAGAAGGGAAGAAAGACTGAGCACAGAGGTGACCACTAACCCAAGGTGGGATAGGTGCAATGACTGCATGAGCACAGCCTTGGCAAATGGAGCAAAGAGGTTGTAAAGCCATCCTGCTCACAGGGAGATGCCCCTGCTCTTGTAGCAGAGCATGTCCACAGCAAGGGCAGAGAGGAGCCCATCACACCCACTGAACTCTTTCTGAGGAGACTCGGTGAGAGGGAGGGTGGACATGGTGAAAGGAGGATGCACAAATACACAAATCCTATCACGCTGGAATCCACACAGACCTTCTGCCATGGAACTTTGGTTTGTGGAAGTTTCATTGAAATATCTGTTTGCCATTAGCCCACACATCTACAGATGCAGACCTGCAGCTCTGGGACCTCAGTGCAGAGTATCACCATGGCTGGGGTATAAATGGGACTAAGGTCAAAGGAAGACAGGTGTGAATTTTGGTCTCCCTGCACATCTCTACTGTGCATTTGGACTGCTCAAGGTATAGCCAGGCTGCCCACAAAGACAATAATTGTGCTGCTGACATGGGACAACACTCTGTAAAGAGCAAAGAAAGCCGCTTCTGGTCTATGTCAACCTGCTATCATTATTCTAGTAAACTGTCCCATGGTATACCTATGGAATAAGCATATACTCCCATAGAATACTTTCCTTTAAATGAACAGATCCATATGTTGAGAAAGATAATTTCTTAAGTCACTGTGCAAAGAAACCTATACTAAAATGACTTAAAGAGGAACAAGAAATATTTTAATGAGGTAAAAAAGTGAAAAAAAAAGATTCAAAGAATGTTATTTTTCTTTAACATATTACTTAGACGTCAGGAAATTATGGAAATATATAAAGAATGAAGTGACAAAATCTGTCAGAAACTTGGAGAGAACATTCTGCAAATTTTATACTGTCAATCTGTGAAATATGCTTCTAATGTATCATGGGAATCAAAAAGCCTGTACAATGTTTGGAAGGCTTTAGTTGCAACATTTCAGTGAGACTGGACATTTTGGAATACTGAAGATATTTACTAATATTGTATAACTGTTAACACATTTTTACACTGTTAAGAAATGTATACATGGCTTGCTAAGCAATGACTAACACCAACTCTGAGAGGCCCACTACACTGTCAGTTTAGTAATGACTGCTGCTTTGGTGTTTCCATGTTCTGTAGCCAGATGAGCAGAAAGAATGGCAAAAATGCATAAGCAAAAGTCATGAAAAAAGGTCCCTTGTTTCATGATTTTAGGCCATTATTTCCAGATTTAGGCCAAGCTTCTTCTGATTGCTTTTAATCTCCTCAATGACTGTGATTGAGTTAAGGGTTTCAGTGTCTGGAATCCTATTAGTGCTGAGTTTGTTGAAGGCACAGGCCTTCTCTGTGTCGCTGAGGTAGGCTTTGCACTAAACAAGACAATTCCTGTGTCCCCAGGGCTGCTGAGCACCGTCCGTAAGCACTCCATCTGGTTCCAGGGATCATCTCTTGCAAAGGCTCTTTACAAATCACTGTCACCTCTGCCCTTAAATCCATTTTAAATTTAATAGTAGCACTGCCAGATTTGAAACCAACAAATGAAACCTGCTTATCATTGTTGACTTTGAAAACAGATCCTTGGTTCTGTGAACCACTTACCCTTTATTTGATGATTTTTCTAATTCTTTATTTTTGAGACATAATCATTCTGGCTTTTCCTTTGCTCATCCTAGATGTTGACAGCTTCTGTTGTCTGAACCTCTGGCCTCTCTGCTGTTTCTGCCTTGCCCCTAAGAGCCATAATTCTGCCATGGGAAGTCCACTCTTCTAAAAAGCATTTTTATGGGTTCCTTGTTTATTTAGGGAGCTTGCTTTTCTTTTTGTTGACTGTTGTTCCCCTATTTTTTCATTGGATATCTTGAATTTTTCCTGGGTTGGACGGTGATGCTTCTCCATTAC